AACTAGCTGGTGATTAAAGGCCAGTCCTGCCAACCCCACCTCCCTCTTGCACAAGTCAGCGGGATGGACCAGCACTGGGGCTCAGGCTCAGTGAGACATGCCCAGGGTATGCAGCATCTCTGCACTGGGGGCATGTTGCCATCCTTTCTCTCTGCCTAACATCCAAGTGTTTCCATCCTATTAAACACTATCTATGAAGACAAGAAACTAAATCCACACAGGTTTTCACCCTGGATTTGCACCTCACACCCTGTGGTGTATCCTCCTGTGTGATGAGCTAGAGAGCTCTACTGCACTGAAGAGCTACAGAGCAGCCCAGGACTACAGTTTGACACTACAGGGTGAGACGGAGCCTCCTGAGAGCGGGCTCGCTGCTGCAGGAGGGGATGTGCTGCTCACGGGCAAGACGGCTGCATCAGCCAGCGGGTGGCCGATACTCACAGGAGCCTTTGGCACATCAGGCACTTGTTGAGGTCTGTTTTGCCATCCGGGCTGTTGACGGGCTCCTTGGTGGTGGGACAGGAAAACTTGCCGCTGCGCAGAAGTGACCAAATTTTCATGCACTCATTCTGGAAAAAAAAAAAAAAAAAAAAAAACCACACCACAAAAAAACAGTCAGTGGAGGCTCCCTCAGAGGCCATTGAGATCCTGAGAACAGTTTGTTCACATTTAAGCTGTTTTGGGTGGGCTACATGCTCTCAACAGCAATAGTCTGTTCCCACCAGGCCTGGGGCTACCCACGCTCCTCATCCCAACCCCTCGCCACACACCGCCCATGGTACAGGCTGCACCCTGAGCCCTACTCACGGTTCCCGAGGCAGAAAAGACAAAACGTAAGTTCAAAACCCGTTGCAAAGGCTGTTTAATTTTGCCTAGAGCTCCAAATTGCTATCCGCTGCAGGGGAGGACTCTATAATATAAAGTTAGTCAAGAGCAGAAAATATAGCCCTAGAAGTGCCAGTAGGATGCAAGAGTGATGAATCGGCCAGGGTGACTGGAGAGCGATTCAGGTGCGAGACTGAAGCACAGAAAAATCACAACCCATTTGGGAAGGGGAGCAGTAATACTGTGCAATGCCGCATCAACCGATTGCCTCTTCGGCTGGGGAGCCAAAATGCAGGCTAGGGAGAACCGATGAACCATTTAGTTATTTTTGGCTACTATGTTTTCCAAAAGGGTCTTTACTAAGGAGAGAGAAGCTTATTTGATTAAAACGTGAATGGAGCTGTCTTCTCATTCATTGAATCAAATAATTTTCTGAGACTCAAAGGACTTGCCTTAATTTGTTTAATTATCAAACTCAGAAGCAAGGGTTTCTGCTGGATCAGAAACAAAGTTCTGAAATATCATTAGAAATATAATCCGTGCCATTTCTAACTTCATCTCATGAGATATCCCAGCCCAGAGATGTTTGGATACACGCTCAGCATAGTACAAACG